TTGTAATGATGAAACGATGGAAACATATTACGTATACCGCCTGCAGTGAGAGCGTTGATCTTGTTTTACACTTATGTGTTCCTTATTTAAAGTCAGTATGTAAGAAATAGCGAATATTGAAAACGCCAAAGTCGTCGTGTCGCGTCGTGTTCGGTGCGGGTCCCATATGACACATACAACACGTGTAAAATACGTTTGTCAGTTTTACATATTATCGCAAGAACACGAAATATCAACGCGGCCGGGAAATTCACGGTGACCCGTTGCTAGTTTCAAGTTAGCTGCAGCACTTTTTACGTTTACAGATACACGTATTAAATCAACTTACTACTATTAGCATATAAACTCGGAATTCTCCAATCATTTCTTGCATTTAAAAATGAGACTCATGTTCGAGCAAAATTTACTTTTTGTACTTCTCGAAATCTACATTCAGTCAGCCTTCTTCATTGTCTAAAATAGCAGATATCCTATGAAACACGTACAAAAAATAGGTCCAAATCATCTAAAAATGTGGAAAGATTTTGCTTAATTTGTGTATTTGCATATAATTTGCATAATTAATGACAATCAACAAACGTACACACACTCTGTGGAATCATTCTGTACAGTCATTTAACTTTTTTGCAGACCATTAATCTACTAATGCTACTGTTGTTATTGCCATTTGAAAACACAGTATGTAATGACTGACGTAGACAATTGTGCACATTAGAATTTTCTGACCTTTCTGATCTCCAATAATTAAGAAAATTTACAATAATTTAAGAGCAGCAATGAATTGTCAGAAATTGTCGCACATGATTTTTTATACATATTCGCTAATATACGCCTCAAATATTGTATAACAATTCTAAGACAAAAGAAATTGTGCATCAATGACAAAGTCCGTCATTTTATAAAATCTGAAATCGAAAATTTGATTGACTATAACTGATAAACGAAGAAAAATTAAAATATTCTGAGACCGAAGAGTTTATAATGTAAACAGTGACAATTTCTTCTTTTAATTAAAACGTTAAATTCTTTTAAGTGAAAAATCCAAATATGAACACTGAGTTAAGCAAAAAATAAACAAACCAGAAATACCTGGTTCTATTCGAAAATAAATATAGTTTTGAGAAACTTGAATTATAATGCTGAAAGAATATAGGTTTGAATGAAGCGTTATCCTCGAATCCAGCCTTGAGTTTTAACACTACTACTCAGTGACTACTACTATTCTTTCTCAACAACCCCGCCTCCTTTTGATAACAGCACCGCGCTCCTCTTCCATCAGGGGTAGTTCCAGGATTGCCGGTTATCGATTTCCGTGCGAAGTACAAATCTCTCTGCAGTTCAATGTTCTCAATATGTTAACATGACGAAATACAGTCAGTCACTCGCGGCGTGGCGCATGGTGCATTTTGCCACCAGAGCAAATTGTCATGTCGCGGGTGCGTGACCCTCTCAGCATTATCCTTCCGAAATCTTAAAGTAGTCCATACTCTGGGTATCAAATTCACTACACAGTAACGTATTCCAGACAACGGCATCGTAATTAACTCTCTCTCTCTCTTTCCAAATGTTCCTGTGAAACCAATGCTAAGTAATGGGCCCCTTACTATCAAGATTTCAGCGCCGGCCGCTAATCGTATACAGCCTTCGACGTACACATTAGCGTGTCTGACGACTTACAAATCACGACACAGTACACTAGAACATACAAGCATTTATGCTGTTTTAAACATCAACGATCTTCTAATTTGTTTCGCCGGCGTGTTCGATTTTCAGTAAATATCAAAATATCAACACACAAGACTCTAGGCTGTTTTACTACCACGATTTCAACATGACTTTGCATATTCATATTAAAGTATGACCTGTATTCCATAGCTCTCGAATACTTTTATATCATCCACAGTTCCGACTCGCTCCAACTAATATACAATTTCAAACGTTTATTGACAAAATGTATTCTTTTTAATACTAAAAACGAAAATATCGAAGTTAAAATTTTAGAAGTTCGTTCTTTCGTACATATTAGGCGCGATAACACAATTTCTCCCGATATTCTGTGACGGAGCTAGTACTAAGCAGAAACAGACGTGAAACTGAAGACACAGTGTCTCATGGGAAACGCGAAAATAAATAAACCATATTTTATTAGGGGGAGTTCACTTTAGATTATCAGCACGTGACTGACAAATAATACGATGTTGCGTTTAATTGGCCGGTGAAATATTCAAATGTTTAGCGGAATGTCGAATTTCTAAATAGAGAAGCTGAAAGATGGAAAGAGAGGCTTCTGCAACAGATTCTCTCAGCCAATGAGAACGCCCGATGAGGGGGTGTATCGTGGAGACGCGACAAGTCGGGTCGTTGGGAATTCTAGCTGATTTTGCGGATATACCTCATAACGAACCGCATCGTGTGATTAACTGTGGTATAGTAAGCGTCGGACGCTAGTGTTAAGATTATTGGTGAGGACGTTTCTCCCCCTACAGTATAGCGGCGTTAAAAGGTTTGTGAATTGTTGTTCAACACTCAGCGTTTTTTGTGTTTCTAAATGTACAGTATAACTGTAGCTTTTTATGCACGGTGTTTACAGGAACGGTCAAGACCTGCGTGCCCGTACATCAAGGTCTAAAACTTCCTCGCCCGGTAGAGTATCACTTTGAAATCATGGTTGTGTCCATGAAGGACACGCTTCCATGCGTTCAAACGGGGGAATTGACACCGTGATGTGGATTTGTTTATACACCAGACAGTTACAGTAGCAAGCTTACCGTCTCGGGGAAGTGGTTCCCCCTAAGGCTACGTGTCCAAGTTGAGAGTTATATGTTTAATGCACTAGTTTGGCTGAGTGGTGCGGATACTCTACCAGTCAGGTATAGAATCTGGCGAGCATAAATAAAGTATCTTACAGGTTTTGAAACGTTTCGCCGCAATGGGCGGAATTATTGGCCATTTCCACAAAACACGACCAGATGCAATTTCATCGATAGAAATTAATCTATGTTCACACAGGTTCACAGCTGGACCTGTTGTTGGCGTTGTGAAATATGGCCTAGTGTTGAAGATCATGGGTCACGCATATGCATGCAATATATGCAAACACTAGGTCAAATCGGTGAAGGCGGACCATACCGTCTACGTAAAATAACTAAAGCATGTTTTTTTAAATAAAAAAATGGTTCACTGCACAATCTCAAAGTAACACTTATATAATTGTGTACACTTTGGACAAGCATCGTGAACAGGGTAGAGAAGGCAACAACCGTGTCACTAATAATTTCGAGTACGACGACATGTCTCTTTGAGCGTAATGCCCTGTTCGAGAAATGCCAATAAATTAAAACTCATAATTTTGCAGCTGTAATCCGATGATTTCTTCAATTTAGACGATACCCTATCAAACCGACCCACCAAATGTTCTCTCGGTGATTGTTATCCTTATTTTATTTACCTCCCGATGCGCTGACCGACGGAGCCGGCTGTGATCACCAATTCGTGGGCTGTTCACTCATCTGTGTTCTACGGTTGGTCAATAATCACATAAAAGCCCCGAACATTAAAACGCAAAACGCGGGTGTTGTTTTAGCTTATTTGTTGAATGGTCCAAATATGCTAGGGACATGTTCGTACTTCGGCGTACGGATGGATGCCTCGAACCCTTTACGTGCCACGTTTTCTTCTTGTTCTAGCTTGGAGACACGTTTCGCGTTCTTTTTCTGAGATGTGTTATACTGAAATGCCCGTAACGTTTTGTAATCAACGCATCGCCCGATCTCCTGCTGCCAACTTGAAATGCCACTGACTTGTTCTTGTTTAATCGATCGATTTCACGATTGAGATATCATTGAAATATCAAACCGAAAAACTTCTAGCGGAAAAATTGACGGAATTCCTACGTATTTGGGCGCTGTAGTTAATAGTATTATAAGGAACGTGTGTTCAGACATTAACGTTGAATGTGTATAGCCACGGTCGTCGCGCCGCGTCCTGTTAGATACAGTACCCATAGCGACGTACACCGTGACAACGCGTGTAAAATACATTGTTTGTTTACATGAATTTCGAACACGCGCTGCGCGACGACCACCGCCCTTTAAGAACAAACAAGAGTAATTTTGTTCGTAATAATTGTTGGTGATAACATTAGCATGTACGACTATTCTCAGATCGAATACGTATGGCAATCATCACCACTAAAAATATGTTTAAACTTTAAACTAATAAATTTAACTATAAGTTTGCTTTTGTAAGATATATATCCCAGATATTTAGATGGGAGACTTCCTCCGTTTTTTTGGCAAAATAACGCCTTCGATCACCCATTATACCCTATGATAACTGAGAAGTTAGTGGATTTATCTGATAAATTTAACCGTGTTTTTATTCTCCGTTTACTCCAGGGTCCAGGGTGGTCTTCAAGCCTGGAGGGGCCAGAGTGACTGATTACAGTTGCATACCGCGTTTCAACGCGCCTGGTTTGACACAACCTCCAATATTAGTGTTGGCTCATCTAAGACAGGGAGAGCAACTTAGAGTAGTTCGTTGAACGTATTGACAACGCAATTTTAGGACTACATGCAAGCTGACTTACCACCGTGTATTTGGTTTGTGGACATAGAAGAAGTTTCGTCGAAACGAACTGTGCTGTTGAAGACTCGTTTGCATACTGCTGAACTGGCGTGCATATAGGACAATATATTATTTGGCTCACCGAAATAAGCGAATACTAAAGTGCGTCACGTAAGAGACCTGTTTAGCTAATGTGGAAATAGAAAGCAATACATATTGCAGCGAGAACTGTGGATTATAAATTGATACTTGTAAAATCACAGAGGATCAAAGAAACATCAGTTTGGCATTTAGTGCATTTGACTTAGAAGGCGGTTACACAAACGATAGACTGTTCGCGTCACCAGCACAGTCACCAGGCAACACATCGCGGAAGTCGGTCGATACTGGGGTAAATCAACTCGACATTATACATCTTTCCCATGTTCAGTACGATGACAAGTGTGGGACTTCAGGGAACTGCGTACAAAATAGTTCCGACCGAATTTGAAAACGCGAAAAAGAAAAACGAGAACTCAAATAGCGGCATGTCCGTCTCCGGTACCAATAACGACCATGGCAGTGGTACCGTGATTCATCGCCGGCTTCTCCGAACACCGAAGTGTGCTCGATGTCGTAATCACGGCGTCGTCTCCTGCTTGAAAGGACATAAGCGGTACTGTCGTTGGAGGGACTGTCAGTGCGCCAATTGTTTGCTGGTCGTGGAACGGCAACGCGTAATGGCAGCGCAGGTAGCGCTCAGAAGACAGCAAGCTACGGAAGTCAGCAAAGGAACGAAAACCAAGTCATCGAATTCGGCCGCCAAGAGAGTATACCAACGCATCGGCAAGCAGCAAAGCGCTACAAATGCGAAAGAAATACTTGAAGGTAAGCGAAGGACGACAGCATCGATTTTTAGAATGTCGTTTGCTATTATTTGGGTGCATATATTGTAATATTTGGTTACATTAGCGCTACAGTATAAAATACATTGTTTGTTAACGCGAAATTGGAAGAGTAGCGCTTTAAAATATGTACCGTTGTGTTTATTTCATTTATCAGACTGACAATAAAAATGATCACTGAACTGGCTTTTTTTTCGCACTAAACATGGGTCAAATATCCATGAAAAGGAACTATCGAAAATGATCCTTTTTCGCATTTGCCCGCGGTCGACTACAATTTAGCTGAATATAAACAAGAAAAAGGAAGCAAAGTTAGCATTGATGTCATACACATAGCATGCGATGAGTATAGTCCAGCAATTTTGATGCCGAGACTTAAAATAAATAACCGATAATAAAAAACATTCGTATTTTCGTAACTCAATCCTGTTTACATAACGTTACGGAACATATTTGATTTCCGAGTATTGAATTCCCATACGTGACCTTAAGAATACGATACAAGTATCACCGAATGCCGAAAAAGTTCGTCTATTATTAATACTCTTACTTGATGTAGTGATTTGTCGGTGTCATCCCGTGGAACAACGCTTGACGCTTCGGGAGCAGAATTCATCTACCGAAGTAGCGTCTATTTGAGTCATTAGCGCCAATTGGGAGTCTTTAACAGGCGACGTCACTTGGCGACGACACGTGCTGTCCACGCCCCTGATGTGAGACGCAACTTTAAATTAGCGGTTTTCCCACGATTTTATCCGTTCCCGATTTCAAAAATTGGGAGATATTCTGTCATTTATCGCCGCAAGTAGAGCGAAGTTTGAATTTGGTTGCGGTTCCCCGCCTTTGACGTAGTTTGGATGTGTTATAATGCGATTGCAAGTGCACAAGATCTGACAAGATGCCGGTGTTTACGTGTCGACAAGGTTAACTGTGTCGGTGATAGGTTGTTTCCTGGTCCCTTTAATTAAACGATCTCCCACAGTAAAACACAACATTACCCAACAAGTAAACCTATCGTGCTCGCGCCTCAGATAAGACAATTTGATCCGCTGATGGCTGCTAATTTGGGATAGTGTTTTTGTAAATTGAATGCTGTGGGTTTCACTATGATGTAAAATTAATTGCTTTGATATGCATATCTTTATGACATATACCAAATCGAGAGGTGGCATATGGAACGGGGGCTTAAAATACTCTGATTTATTTTCGTTTCGACTCATGGTATATTTACACTAACTTATCACCGGGTTCAGAAGGTTACGTACACACTTACGCATTTATTGGTCGAAACTTTCTAATTCTCGTTCTGTTTCTTTTGATAACAGGTTACCGGGCCCGAGCCAATCGACTGATGTCGAATATTGCATCGAATAACAGCAACAACAACAACTACCCAGGGCTTTACCTGCCAACACCTTTAAGTGAGCGCCTGAGAAAGCGGCGCTGTTTCGCGGATAAAGAACTAGACACCACCATATTGTTGGATCGCGAACGGCAGTTTCGATTTCTTCAGAGTGTTAGCGGTGCCGCTCCGAGCCTGATCAATTCACAATACTCGGGAACGCCGATGGTTTTACGAACGTTGCCGAAGGTGAACATCGCGCCCAAAGAATTCCTCACGCGCATATTTCCCGATCAAAGCCCGAGTGTGCTGGAGCTGGTCTTGCAAGGATGTGGTGGCAATTTAGAGAAAGCGATAGAGCAGGTCGTCGGCACAATGCGACAGTCTGCAGCCATGAATATTCAGAATATGACGTCGTGGCCGTTTATTAGCAACCAGTTTAATTCATATTCTAGCGAACAGCTACCGTTTCATATATCGCGTTATTTGGCGAGTCAGGCAAGTGTAGGGAAATTGGCCAATCGCTTGTTCGCGGCACAGTCACGTGTGTACATGGCATCGTCATCGGCATCAGTGACCAATCATCTCCTCCGAGAAAAGTCAGCCTTTTCACCACCGGATAAACTCGCCAGCAAGAGAATATCACCACAGAGTAAACCGTTTCGTGACGACGACTCAACAACCAGTAGCATGGAATGTGATGCAAGTGACGACGATGATATGTCGCAAAACACTCCGGGTGATGCGAAAGATAAACTTCGGGAGACCGGTGTCGTTTCCGCTCGTGCTTTGGCGTTTTCTGTTGAGTCCCTTATCGGCAAGCATTGAACGGGTTATAAAAACAGCCAATACGATTCAAAGACAATTATATTTAATGTTTATTTAGGAATAATTGTGCCCAAATATTCTTCGTCAATTTCAGAACTGTTACTGACCGAAATGGGAATCCAAGTTTTGTACAAGGTTTGATGTAAACAATTTACATTTTCACTGTATATAACGAACAGAAACTATTTTTTAGATGGCGTTTCTCTTTTTCGTGGATGTGAATTAATTTAGTGCAAAATAAACAAATCATCATCACTACACCTTTATATAAATTGGTGTACTTCTCGGCATTTTCAGTGGCTGGTTTGCATAGTTGTCATGACGACGCGTCTTATTGTAAAATAATACAACGTACTGTAGTGTAACATCATCGTCAAAATCATGGAAACTTATTAATATCGTATAAACGGATATATTTTTGACGATCAATTTATTTTAATAACACCTGCAAATCGCAGTGTAGCGCCACTACTGTTTATAATTCTACACTCACTTCACACGTGATTTGTGGTGTGTTTGGGCATACTATAAGAGTGGATTGTTTGTTCGCTTTTGGGGTTTGTTTGTTTGTCAGTACGTTGTCACCTAGAGGTTCGCTTACTGTAAAATACTTTATTTTAGCTGGAATTCATTTTCACTTTTTTTTCACGAGTTGAATGTAAAATAAAAAAAGGTATACATTCGCCGGATTTTATTTTCACCTTTAGCGAAAATGGCTTAATTAATTCCAAGTGAAGATAAAGTATTCCACAGGTATATGCATTCATTGTTTGATATTCACTGTTAATATGTATGTATAGAGAAATTGATAAAATATAACTATTATATATATAACAAGTATAGAATACATGTCCATGTCCGTGTTACTGAATTTTTAGGCTGTTAGCCGATGGATTGTTTTCAACGAGAACGCCGGAACATGGCCTCGTTCGGTGGCTCTATACTTTGCCAACTCGCAGCTCTTCTAGCAAATATAAGCAAGAGAGTTCAAGTTGAAACTCGCCGTCTGACACAATTGTGTTTCTATACGCAACCTTATCAGTGTATAGAAAGCAGTACAGACAGGCCAGTTGCGAGTATCAGTGTTATGTTAGGGTGTCCCAGTACGTTATCAAATCCACCATTGTTGTACATCTTCGTTCTCGCCCAGTCGTGGTCACGGTATATTCACTAAAGAAAGTCTGCGGGAATATGGATCATCACGTGCCAATGGCCGTATGCGTTCTCTTATATAACTTCACAAAACGTTGTAAAAGATTGGCCCAGGTTGTTGTCCCCTACTTACTATCACCTTTCGTATAAATGTTATTGTTTTCAATATAACGAGGCTGAATTAAATAAACCATGCCAGGCATATGATTTAAATCATTTAGTGATATCAATAGTCAGGGCGGTGCCAGAATAAGAACATTCATCATTGGCAATCGGGTATAGAACTTTATCTAAATATCATCAATTTAAATTATTATTGGTCAGAGTGCAGATCTATTTGTTGTTGAAAATAAATGTTTTAGAAATGCATTCTTTATGGATAGAGAATATTTATCTATAATTATTATAATAATTATTATTATTATATATATTTATAACGCAATTGGCCGTCGGGAACTCGATGAAAACGAGAGAACTACTAGGACTCGTTTTGTCCCTCGAGAGTGGGTTATTCTCAGCCGTCGCGGCGTCCATTGTTCCTTTGGCCTATGTTACCAATGTGTTTGTAACGGCGGACGGCGGAGGATGCCAAATAAAAGGCTCGTGGTTATCTCGCGGTTCGCCGTCAACGAGATATAGGCGGCAATTTGCTTCTAAGGTTCCTTTCTACACACATTTACGATAACTGATCTCATTCGCTATACCGACATGCTAATTGTATGCAAGTAGCATACTAGTCACCCACGTGAGGTAAATTCACAATTTACTATACATCAGCCGAATCACGTGACACAGTGTCGTGAGATACCATGGTAATCCGACAAAGGAATCAACTTTCTTCTGTTCCGCGCCAACTTGAACCAGTCTATAGTAGCATCGCTTACGTACAATGTTGCTCACATTCTGCAAAATCAATTTCACGTGGAAAATTACATCACATCCTACTCGTACAAATACGATGCCAAATGTATAGTTTGAAAGGGTTTACAGAAGAGTTCCGAAAATTGAATGTGACGTATCTGAACCAAATTGTGTCGATATCAGGTTGACCTTTACCAGTTCCACCATGATGCAGTGGGACCAGATTTCAATTTACAAGCGTCTGTCGTCTGTTTATTTATTCTGACCAAGACATGTTTTACGTTACTTTTCCAATCTTGATCTAATTACCTGTAACGTGATAGGTAGAGTATTGGAAAACGTGATGACATTGGTAGTGGCTTTAATCGCCTACATACGCACTGTTCTTAATTTGTGATACTGTACAATTCCACTGCGCATGATCATAACACATGCCGTGATTGGATGAAATTCGAAGACGGGCGAAATATTCGAACAAATCGAGCTTTTTCAAAGATGCAATACTAGTATGAAAACATTTATATATATTTCTTAATATTGTTGATACTCCATACTGTAGAACGAATTAGATTCTGATTTATCATCACAAAACTGTGTTTGTTAGATGAAAAATAACAATTACGTGTGCATGGACTGTTATAATTGTACATGCCAAAACAACCAGTTCACATGCGTATTAGAAAATGTGTTTCATCGACCGAACACTCAGATTCGTGTCACAACAACAAAGCCCAGTGCAGTCATTAACATAGCAACAATATTAAAATTTACATGTAACATTGAATCTTTAATATATTCACAACCATACATATTCCACAATGAACGTGATGGTAACACAAATTCTGTTCTGCAAACAGCGTACATAGCGTTGTTACAGTTCGATCGTGGCCATGTATCGGCTCAGCTTCCGTGAATCGCACACGCGGCGGATAACATGCATTATAAATTTTAGCGTCTCCTAGTAACTAGTTGAATGCCAGTATATTTACGGCAGTGCCTGTCACCACATCTGCCGTGAAATCGAATGTGCAGTAATGTATATTCTAAATATGTTTTTTGTTGTTGTATACATCTCATTATCGAGAGATTACTTATACCATGCCTACGCACAAAGCCGGCGGTCGTCGTACCACGCATGCGCGGTATTTATGTTGATAAATATGGATTTTCCAACAAATTATAAATACGCTCTCCCATGAGCAAGCACGAACGCGAGTTTTGATGTGGAGGTAATGGGCACTAAATACCAATTTTAGAATATTCGTTTACGCGTTCCAAACATCCCTGGCATTTCTTAGTTAAACCTTGACAACGTATTTTTGGTACTTAAAGCGCGGTGGTCGTCGCGCAGCGCGTGTTCGAATTTCATGTAAATAAACAATGTATTTTACACGCGCTGTGTACGTCGCTATGAGTTCCATATCGAACAGGACGCGGCACGACGGCTGCCGCCCTTTAATCTGCGCAACACTCAAAGTCGTTATCTGTGTTCGAATATCTCGCGCATGCGTGCGGCGCGACGACCACCGTCTTGTCATGCGTACTGAGGAATAGCAATTATAAACAAATAAACGATCAACTTTCTACACTATGTGCAAATATATATTGCACTGGGCAAGAAAGGATTCGACCATACTAGAAAGAGTATGCCATCCCTCCGTAACCAATGACAACCACGAATTGCCTTTTATATATTAAATGTAATTTTATAATACCAATAAATTACATGTTGATTAATAACTATTTCCCATAATTACATACGAATCTTTTGAGGTACAATCCCGTCCTTCTTCATTAGCGTATCGTACCCCCCCCCCCACTCTTAACACCGAATTGATCCAACACTGTAGTAATCGATCAGCGATCAATGCGTTTATTTGGTGGAAATCAGATGCATTATGTGGTCACACAACTGCCGGACAGCTCCGCGGCCGCCACGATCTGTCGCATTGAACCGGGCAGCATATCGTGCTTCTGTTCGGGCGTCTGCGGGCGCTGCGCTGAGTCCACATTTTCTCATCGCCGGCACGTCGCTGATATCGTTGCCCATGTACGCGACCTGCGACCACTCGAGCCCGAGCTCATCCACCCACTTGCCGAGAACACTACACTTGTTCTTGGCTCCATTTTCCAGCAAGCACCCCATCTTCTCGTTGATGAGCTTCATGTCGGCCATGCTGGTGTCTTGGGATAGCAGGCGTACGATGATTCCGGTTTCTTTCAATTGCTTAACTCCTTCCAAGTCGCAGCGGTTGTACGAACGAAATTCTTCTCCCTTCTCGTTTATGTGAACTTGGTTGTCGGTGATCACGCCATCGACGTCGAAAACCACCATCTTAATATCTTTCTTACTCTCCACGCCGAAATAGCCATACTTAGTGACACGTTGCTCGGCAATTGGCCAATCGATTTCACTGTCAATATCAACGCTGTATTCCGGTCCGACTTCGAAGTAACCAACCTTTCCGCCTTGTAACAAACCCTGATCAAGCAGCTGGCGGCTGAACATATAAAATTGTCCGTTTTCATAAAGTTCTCCGTCCCAGTCCTGACGCCTCGGTCGGTTATTAGGGTCTAAGTTATCAGCACCTACCAACTCGCCTGCCGTATTCGGCGACGGTTTCCATCTGAAAAGATGCTTCCTGGTCACAGAGAAAACGGAATCGAACCCACGTTCACGCATCATTGCTGACGGTTCTTGTAGCATCCATGGGTGCGTGATAGGGGAAGTGCATTGTACCAAACCTATGACATCGACCTCGGGGTGGTGTAGCGCGAACTCCTTAATGGTATCCAGAGATGACGACGAGTCCCGCGACACATCGGCAGACCTGCGGTGAACCTGCCCTCCCCATTCAGTAGCGACGCGAGCAATCTCGTCATGGTCGGTGGAAACCCATACACTATCAAAACATTTAGAGTCAATGGCAGCCCGAAGCGACCACGAAAGTAATGGCTGGCCAGCCAGGATTTTGATATTTTTTAGTGGTATCCCTTTGCTTCCTCCTCTTGCCAAAATGAGTGCGGCGAAGTGTCTTTTATCTGTATCCATGATATGTTGTCAGTGATGGCAGTAGAGTGAAAACAGTGAAATAAGAACTATACCTGCACGCAATGCTGATAGTGACAACCTGTAGCAACACGATTCCCGTCAATGGACGAAACCATTTCAATTAACGGGTGGGATCTTATTTATAGTGATTTCACATTAATTGGAACATGTTTTTTTTTTCAGTATGAAAATAAACCTGTGTGGTAGTAGAGTCAATGTTTATTCAATGGAATTGAAGGTACATGCCGTATTAAACTGTGATAAGCAGACGCCCCAAAACACCGTATTGTTAGACCCCGAACTGATGACGTGTGCGAGTTTCATTGAAACATGGCGTCCACATACCGGCATTTTAGAGAAAGAGAACCACGCCTTTACACAGTGTTTCAACATATTGCCAAGGTATTTACATGAACTGACATCTGGTTGACCCCCATTTCTCGGGCACTGCGCATGCGCCGTTAATACTAGGTATCTGGCGTCAGTTGTATTGAACGAGAAGCAGTGTATTTTATGTAGGTTTATGCTACCATATTTTATCACTGAGGTAAAATGTGATGTTCATAATGCTGTCAGCAGTCGATATCGCGCACTATGGCGTTATTCTTTATGATGCCGTACTCTGGGAGTCGAATGCCAGTCAGCTCTTTTACGCATTATACAGATGATACACTGCTAAAATACTTACCAAATTGTCAACGATCATACACGGTTTTCATCAATGGAATAAATCGATAAATGTGTGCAGCATACGGCGAATTCCCGGAAGTTAACATTTTAACCGTATACCCTAAATTAAATGTTTAATGAGATGAACCGCTGGGGGCGCTGTGAAAGAAAAATTGAGAAGTCGACTGACTCGGATAACGGTCTTATAGAGCAGGGAGCTATAATGAGATACATGGACTCGGCTCGTATGTGTTCAAATGCTTATAGAGGGAAAGATGCGACGAGTAGTCATGAATCGTGTATATCAATAATATGTATATTCCCTTGTCTTTAAGGCCTCATTGACAGTGTCTCAAGCTCGGGCGTCACAAAAATTTGCATATTTCTGGAATCAACGTAGTTCACTCAGTGATAATATTATTGGCTCAGTATCTATCTTCACGCTACACTTCATATGACGCAGTACAGGATAACGGGACAAGAATAATGTTTATATACTAAATTCTTTATTAGAGCAACAGATTAGAAAAATAAAGCATGATACAACTTTAATTTTTTTTTAAATAAAAAGCGTCCAGCAATGATCATAAAATCAATTAGACTGTTCAGAGACTTATTTATTAATTTAGGGAAGCTCACCCTTTCAAAGTCTGGACGAGGATATCTTTACTTTTATGTCTAGGCACTGTCTGAATATGGACTGTGGTTTACCGGACACTTATCTAAGTAGTAGTCAGCTCTCGTTATCACATCGAGTATCATGGGTTAAAACGTACATCTGAATTGCTTAAAGCGAGAGGGTCGTCACCTTCGCACGCGCGGGAATTGAGTCCCAAGCGACGATAACAACACACGCTAAAAACGCAAAGGCTCATAGGTAGACGCTTGTTTGTGAACAGCGACACGCTATGACCATCTGACGCATGCGCAGGTGACGACGCTACCGCTTTAACTACGCAAGTACATGCTAATACAAACAGTACATATGCCCACATGCAAACAAGTTCAGCCCATGGATGTATCAAAGCCGTGTGGCATAAACATGTTCCGTTTATTGTGACGTCAAAGCTCCTCAGTCATCGCAACGCGTATCTTTTATATGGGTCTCATGCAACGCATAAAACGCGATTGTATTATACGCATACGCGCGCGTTGCGTGGCTTAAACAACGCAATATAGACGAAAACATATATTTATATTTCTAAATATTGTTCGACACTCCAGTCTTAATGTAGACCGAAGCAGATTGTGATTTATCTTATCATTTTGCAGAATACGCAGCAGTATTAGCTACAAATACAGCGTAGTCTAATTTATCAACATACACCATCAAACAACAGTACTAACAATTGTTCTTGTTCAGATTGCATTTTAAACAGACACTTTATTCCGTGTTTTTGGTTCCACTGTCTTCTTCTTCAAAAAAAAAAATCACGCGGCTCTAGAACCGGTGTAAAGTCTAAATGACTTCTATTTTTGTCAATTTTTACTTTAGTTTCCTGCGATTTTGTTAAGTTTCTTTTACTTGGCAAAACAGTTCCGACATTTTTGAAATTATACTCCAGAGACTAAACGATTTTCCGCATAAACTAATGAACAAATGGCTCAATATCTGCAAGTTCCGCTGCATCATATCCAATAGGCACTACTGTTTTTATAAAAAATGACAAACTTGATGACGTGTGTTAAGTCGGTTAACTGCGAGGCCTATTTCCATTAGTGGCGACACACCACTGCTATGACGTTATTCCAAATTTAGTCAACCTTATTGGTCCAGCCGTTTACCCATATTTGACCTATCACAAGTTGCGTTATACTTGAAAATATTCATTCATGACAGTTTCCAAGAGTCGTTTGTTACGTAACATGCATTTCATTCAAATGTGCATATTTCATATGGTTTAACTCAGAATGTGTCGCACTTTATGCCCAGTTTTTGAATCGCTATTCGATTTCTCGTGTCTCCTCCCCATTTCCGGTATGTCGGCTGCTCCGTTCAATATTTTACTCCCACTGGTGGGCGTGTCGACAGAATGATGTCTATTATTCAATGCACTTCGCAGATGCAGACCTTCTTCTAGCGGACTTTGGGGCCCAACCATCGGTGGGGGGAATCTGCCGTTCGGAATGGCGAGCAGAGGATTGAAGTAGTCGTACGGTAAGTGTGGTAGCTGCGCTCGGCCGTGGCGCGGATCTAGCGAGGCCATGTCGATGTTTGGTGGGGAAGAATACGGTGACGGTCGGTAGGGTTGGAAACGATTCAGCGATCGCGACGAGAAGCCGTGCTGTAGTGGTGACGTTATTGGTAGACTGGCGTAATACGGGTGACTTCCGCTGCTCGTTGACGGCTGCAACGACCGGAAAGCGGAATTACGTTCTTTCTCGTCGTCTAATCGCGTGAGGGCGCTCTCCATAGAAATCATGTCTCTGCCCGGCTCCGACGGGTGGCCACTCGGGGTGGAATCCTTGTTTCTGGCGATGTTGTACTGCACACACGTTCTACTTGACAGCAACAGTTCAATTGCGCTGATGAGATCCCCGTTACAGCCTTTCAAAATAAGTTCTAAAATTTCAAGTTTATGGGTGGGGAAGATTTTCTTCAAGATCTCAAGTGGCGGTCGTTTTGATTTTTTTTCCGAGTCCGTTGCTAGCAGCGCGGACGACGACGAAGACGGTGATACCGGTGGTGACGTTTCACGCTCTTTCACGCTCGTCCTCGATGACTCAGTTTTCTCGGCTATTTTGTCAACTGTTTTGATTGTCGGTGGCGGGGATGTCGCTACTTTGGTCGAATAATTAACCTCTCCCGGTGGAGCCTGTGATATGTCTGTTGGTTTGCAGGATTTCTCGTTCGTATACTGCTCCCCTTCATCACTCTGCTCATCGGTGTTCCCATAGTCGTCGTAACTATCGTTGTCGTCGCAAGGGCTTGTGGGACACGCATCTTTTTCATCTTTAATACCTAAAAGTAATACAAAGAATAAAACATTGGTGGTTATTAAGTACCAATTGCAAAACGATGTCGTGTAGTGTTGCGGGGGGATATAATTGACAACAGCGGGTTTGTAGAACTTCAAATCCTAGTTAAATTTGGGAACAGACCATTTTAAATTTAGGGGTCTGAAATTTCTTATTTCTTGAGATTTTTTTAAAATTTCTAATGTAACTGGTTTTCTTTCACATTAGTTAGATTTTAAATGTTATTTATTTTAATTCTCCACCTCTCACGTGTGAAACACAAAACAAACAGACAAACAATCAGATAAAATGTTCTGGTTAGTTGAATACTGTACAAAGGAATACCACAAAGGCAACTCGTGATTCGTTCTATTGCAGTATGGACATCTCTAGCAACGAATGGCTTCTTTGTAGTATTTTAGGGAAGGTTTAGTTTACATGGCCATGCAGAGAGAAGCAGTGTCTAACATAATAACATTGTGAATAATCATTGGCAGAAGGCCATCTGTACCCACACCATATCTTCCATGCGTCCCATTATGGCATGGAGTAAATATCCATTCAGTGAGAACGCATTTTTGTATCTCCATTATGGGTCGGCAACAAACAAGTTTACTTACATTCATACGTACTTTTACAAACGAATATAAACACCGTGTCCCTGAACCGTTATAAAAAAATATACCCAAATCACTCAAAAGAAAACTATTTTTCTATAGATTACGGCGAAAATGAAACGACAACGGGATAGTGTCATTAACACCAACAATACACTCGTGGATATGGAGAAAGCTATATAGACACTGTAACCGGCGATCTATGAAGGCGGATACGGGTACGTGCTCTACTCTGCACGATCTACACTGTTTTACTGATTGATATTACTTTAGTATGACAAATAACAATTTTGACGGCGTTGACATATATTGTGAATGCTATTTCCACATTGCGACACATGCAACGTTTAATCCGTGAATGAAAACCGCCCTTTTCACTTGTATCCTCCACGTCGATACTTTCCTCATATACATACAACTTTGAAAGGTGTCTATTTTCACAACTGGATTAACTCCAAAAGGGGAAGCAAACAGGGTGTAACTGCGATACAAATTGCCAAGCAGACACCTCATTATCGTGGCTTCAACGAGCATTACGTACGCTAAATAGATAATTGGCGCGCTAGCCAATTCGTCGATACTTACGTATTGTGTCGAACTTTTCTTTAAAAGTCTCCCCACAAAGGCGCATTTACGTTTAGCGGACAAATCAACAAGGTATTGAAGAGTGTCATGTTTTGTTCATGTGTGCCTCTGCCCCGAGGGGTGGGCGGCAACGACGCCTGTGAGCTCTTTGCTCTCTAACCCAACACTATCGACGAGATATGGAGCGACATCTAAATTAAGTCTACTTTGAGAGCATTGACTCATGTGGCAAGTTGTCTATTTCAATCCCATCGCGCCCATCAACTCTCTAATAAAGTACGCCCTGTTTGTTTTATGCGTTGTCCATTACCAATCCGCTGTGCGCCTAACTAACTAAGTTGAAAATACACGCCCTCTGTATTTTGATGGCCACGTTGTGTCTTATATTTTGGCCAACTGTCTGCTACATCATATGAAAAATTTAAAGCATGTATGTGTTCCAGATAGAAAACATTCACATCTTCGAGTTAGTGG